TAGTAACAAAAGGTAATTTGATTCCTCAGTAAACAAAATTTAATGAAAAGTTAATGAGAATCTTGTTTTGGCAAAGTTAGTTAGATTACGTTTAACCCTTTCGCAATGAATTGTTTGCATCGTAATTAAAAAAAATCGGACGGCAATTATGTTTAATTTTATGTATCTTTAATATTTTATGACAATGTTCGTTTTTGTTTAGTTTACAATTAAAGCACAGTCCTCATTATACTCATTTTCCCTAAAGTTAGAATTCATTCTTTTCATTAAAGCTATTTAATTGAGTGTTTGAGAATAAGTAACTGGCTAACAAATTATTTAAAGATCATTTACCAAGTTCATTTGGGTTGAGCATAATCATTTCTGGGCCCGGTGAGTCATATATAATATATTCAATAAAATATACTTTCCATACTCATATACTAGCATTATTTTATTTCCACTGGTGATCAGTCAGAGCGCATATGTTGACTGACGGTGAGCCATGAAAATTCAAAACTGCCTGAAATCTTATGCATTGAAAATAACTTCATCCCGAGAATAGAATTGAATACGAGAATTCCGGACAGGAAGCGTTCCGAAAAGATTGACGTTCGATTAAGATAAAAATTTTTTTTTCAGTGGGTGTCTAGTCGTCCTTTTGATTGTGATAAAGCTTTGGATGGCATGCAAATAACTGCAATTAAACAATCAGGAATTTGATTGAATCAATCAATTTCGATTCAATTGATAGATTCAATTGAATCGACTTGAAATTTTCTACTAGAAAATTTTCTTGCAGCAAATAAAAAGCTCGTAGATCTTAAGAGTCAAAGAAAGGAAGTACAAAAAAAGTGGTAAGTTTCAGCCTTCAAAGCAGACGTGGCGTATATCGATAAGAAAACTGTATCAAGTATATAACACAAAGGCGAAAATTATCATTTTATCTGCAATTATAATTAATTATTAATTAATTGTTTTTATCAAAACAATTTATATGCAATCCGGCAGTCTTGATGATGTCAGAAAAAAGAGCATCAAGAAACACGATAATCTAGAGTTGCCAGGGCAACCTCAGGGCTCATTCCGCAAAAACGTTCGACTCTTTGATTCTGTTTTTGTTATTTTATTTTTGTTTCTGAAACAAGTTAGTTTCAGACTTAGAAAATTCATTTGACGTCACAAACTAAGTGACTTTACGCGACTGTGAAAACAAACGATCAAGCTTTATAATTAATTCTATAATGATCATTGTTCAAACCAATCAAGCGCTCATTAAGCAAGCTCAGGTATTATGAGCATTTAAAGCATTTCAAAAATAACAAGAGAAAGCTCCTGGGAAGTGAATAAAAAAATAATAGACATGAGTAAGCACGCTACGAAAAATGCATTATTTTTTATACCAATCTGAGCGTCAAAACTGACAGCGAGAATCACAGGAAAATTATGTTGATGGATTTGGGAGAGAGTTTTTTCGTGGCTACGATGACCGGAAAATATAAATAATATTCAGCTCTTGCAATAAACGAAACACATTTGGATTAAAGGTCTCCATAAATACTTTAGACTCTGGAGGCGTGGGCCGTTAAAAATAAAGATTCCGAAAGTGCCGGTCAAGAATGGCACAAAAGAAGCCAGTCAAATAACATGCAAATCTGGCTCTCATTATTCAGGCATTGCGACGCACAAAATGCCACAATTTTTCAGGCCGGAATGCCTGTGTTATAAGGCCACTCGAATAACACTTGAAAAGTATAGGGCTAAGGGCTTTGTTCGTATGTGAAAACAATTACATTTTATTACCACGTGAGCAATAGAGCGAAGCTTCCTAGCTGTGTCGGCCATCAGTTGAAACCTATAGTTTGCCTCTTATTCTGTTATACAAATGCGCTATGTTTTATGAATTGGATGTTTGGCCGCGGTAAATGTTTGCTCAATAACTTTTTATTTAATAAAATTCACGAAAGGAGGAATTAATTTATTATGATTGTAATAGAGATTTTAGGAATCTTGGAATAAAATATTACCAAAGAAAACATTGAGATGAATGATTAAAAATCTTTAGGAGGAAAGAAAGAAAGCAAAATTAAATTATTTAGGAAAAAAGTGAATGAAAAAACAGCTAAAAAATATAAAAATAGATAATGCTTATAGACAAGGAAAACTTGGTGGCCAGGAATAGTTAATTTGTCTGGTGGTAAAATCAAATAGCATGAAACGTAATTGCTTAATTGCGAAATTAAGCAGTTGCTACAAATGAGAAGGCAGCTAAGTAGAGCTGAGCACGACTCTGAGCAGCAGGTGGCGCCAGCCCATTAGATTAAGATGAAAAAAAACAGCGGGAGTGGAAGAACAGCGAGGCCCGAGGATGATTAAATCTAGTATTGATTTATTCCTCATATATATAAATATGATGCACAGCGGTAATTCAGTATAGTATTGAATAAAGGTTCACAAATAATATAGTGGGAATTTTGAGTCAGGATGAGACTAACACTTTCATCAGAATGTGTAAGCGACGTTAAGATAAAACCTCTACGGACAAAAATGTCTAAACCTTTCATTTTCTTCAAATTTTTTCAAGTACACAAGCTGCAGGGAAAATTACTGAGAATCTATAAAGTTTTCTTGCTACATCTTCTCACTTTCTGATACAACGATCTCATAGTCTGAAGAACATGAATAAAGTGGACATGTGAGAAACGGCAAGATATTTTTTGACGCTCATTTCCAAGTAAAAAATTAGAGGACGAAAAAAGTTTCCAAGATTTCATTTCACGACAAAGACACAACTTCACTCACGTGGAAATAAACAGAACATCAGTGGTATGGAAAGAGGGTCTATATGGGCACAGTTTGCATAAACGACTTAATATGTTAGACATAATTTACCCCCGATCAAAAACCTGATCATTTTGGGCAGGGAGGCCCAGTGGTTAAAGTTCAGAGTACCAAGATTGGCGCAGAGAGGCGCGGGTTCGATCCCAGCTCTGTGCGTCAGTTTCTGGTCAGAATCGGCAAGGAGGCCGGGCGGTTAAGCACAGCAGAATTGTAGCAGTGAGTTGCGAGTTCGATACCGCAAAATGCTGTGAATGTTCTGCGACGTTAAGAATCGGTGACAGGCCTATGGCCTAATAAACGCTGAAGCCGCTATTATTATTATTATTATTATTTACCCCCGATCAAAATCGTGACCATCTACCCCGATTGACCAAGCATTCCCAATTTTTTACCACTGTCGTTAGTAAAGGTTGGAAATTATTCGTTACTAAAAACCTGGGACTTAATCAGAGCGAGCACAACCGTTATGGAAATTGGAACTTGAGCCCGATCTATCTACAAGAATCATCGCTTCCTTGCTCAGCATACTATACGTATTCAATGTCCATTTAAACGATATCCTATTTAAATTTAGCCATCGCTTACCCATTTACTTCAATTTACCCATTTATCCAATTCAAATTTACCCCAGATAGCCGGGCCGTCCGTGAATCAGTTTTTCTAACGACGCTCAAAAGGATTTTTCATTTTCATAACGACGCTTTCTTCTATCGCACGCTCAAAAATAGAACTCATAAAACCCTCCAGATCCGACCATAGACTGGTATAGCAGGTGCAAAAAAAAAGTCGGCTATAGAACAACTGATGCACCACGCCTTCTGCTGCACTACACTTGCTGCTGCACTCACCGCTACGTACGCACCATTCACCTGCATCACTAACATTGATTGTGGAGAAAATTATCCTGAAAACTCACTGTTTCAATACCGTGTTTAATTTACATTGTAAGCAAATTATGAAACCTGTTTAAATCCTCCTACTAGCTTAAAACACTCCGATTCAATTTATGCAAGAGCCAAACTCACCCGTACTCGAGAAGCTACAGATTATTAATACGGTCTGTTAATATTTTATTCAGTTCTATATTTTTATCCGTTTCATTTTGAAGCATCAATTTAAGTTGATTAATTTAATTCTTATTAGAAATAATATCTCGAGAAAACTCATGGTATCGTTCACCTCATTAACAATATCATCAATTTTTGTCATCGAAGCTGACCCAGCTGGTAACTCCATGATTTGCTCGATCTGTTATGCTTTTAAATTTCCCATCATTAATTGAAGCTAAGTTTGACTCTAAACATTTTAATTTCTAATCAACTTCAACTATTAAAGATACTTTTTCATCAATCTGTGGCTCGAGATTATGAATCCGCAATTGTGAAGTTTTAAGCTTTTCATTTACTAAATTAATTCAGGTGATATTAATAACATGGTAATGTACTTAGCGAAGTATTATCCACGCCCGCCCTGCAGTCAGGTATTAATGATCATAATCAGTCACGAGCGCTGAAATTAAAATCAGTTCTGCGACGAGAAGAATTAATTTGATGCACAAGAACCATACAGCGTACGTTGGACAGACATTTATTATAACATGTAATAAGAGATAATTTAATTCATTTATTCATTATGTGAGTGATAGAATAAGCTGAAAATAGCTCCACACGTGAGAGGATATATAAGAATTTTTTAAATTTATTTCATTGCACGTCCAACAGAACAGTGATGGACGAAGACAAGATAATATAATAATTAATGATGGGTTGGGAAAAATGGAAATAATAAAATTTAAGGAAATAGTAACATGGACGCCGAGGACCGGAAAAGTGATTTAAAAAAAACATTTAGCCAAGGTCTATTCTATAAAGCAGGTACCCTACACTTAGAGAAAAAAGCCGGTCAGAATAACCCATTTGGCTGAATCCAGGGCTTACCTAAAAATGGTCCCAATTTATTGAACCGTTTTACCTTTCTTCAGACTTTGTGACCGACGTCAGGCAACCTCAGCCGTGACAAGCGAAACTCGCCCAGACGGGAGATCAGGCAATTCACTCAAAAAGTGGGCTCATTTCCTGTACTAACCGTTGACTCAGCCAAGTGTGGTATTATACCCCACTCATTTCTCTAAGTGCATGCTACTTGTTAACTTAGTTTCCATGCAACCCACTAATACTTACCGTAGTAGCGATGCCCTCGTAGCTCAGCGCCGTGTCAGAAGTAGGCTCCTTGTGGCTCCGTGTGATCAGATATTTTATTTGTCCCGTTGCCTTTGCCGGGGAATATCCAATGTTTAGGTCATCTTTGATCCCATTCGAGCTTGTTAATAATATGCCTTTTAAATTGTTGATGGTATCAGTGCGATTCAAGGTACGCATTGAACTCGAGTCCAGCCCAACATCTGAGCTTCGAAGCTCAGCTCGTGAATAAATTTTCAGCACATCGTCTCTTACAGGGAAATTCCAACTCTCAGAATCAAGACTGTTTTTGACCGAAAGAAAAAGTTGGTTGGAGTCTTTGAAGGTTGAGTTGGCATTTCGCAGGTGACTGGCCTTGCCCTCATGAAAACTTCTTCTGAGATCCACGGTTTTTAATTGCAGGTTTATTCGACTTTCTTTGGTTTGCACGAGTCGAGGAGACGTTAAGTCAACATCAGTCGAAAGAAAGGATCCCGACGTATCCAGCCGTGCGAGATACGAATTATCTTCGTGGAAACGATGAAGAATCGGAGGCAAGTTAACAGATTTAGTCGTCTGGACGGTAAAATTTTTCCGCTTGTAATCATCACCAGAAATATCGTCTTTTTTGCTCAAATTGATTTTCCGGCTTAGATTTTTCAAGACCACGAATGAATAAATATTTATTATTTCATCGGAATCAGTTGCAGCTGCTTGGTTTTCGTGATCGAATTTTTCACGTTTATGGTTTAGTTCAACGTTCGTTTTTTTTGTTAATGGGATTTGTGCTGAACTGAAATGCCATGCTATTACGAAATTCCACATACACAGAAAACAGAAGATATTCATATTGATCAAAGTTCTTTGATGCTTTATTATATGCACAAAAATTAGGCGAGATTGATCATAACTTGCTCGATTTTAAATCTGATGATCAATTTAAAGCATTGAAAGTAATTTTTTCCGAACAATCTGTAAAAAAATCTAGATTATTTCTAAAATTGTGAAATGTCATTAGAGGAAAAAGTTAATTCATACATTCATCCTACAGCAGAACTGGAGAATATTTTTAACACCAAAAACTCATTAGGTTCCCATGGATGACATAATAGAAATACCCGTACAATTACAGGTATGTCGCCTACGGTCCTTTACAAGCAACACTACCTTGTTAACAACAGAAGCATAATTTGACCGACTTCAATGCAATTACAAATTCCAAAATCTTGCCGAGAAGTTGATAATTGGCTTTAACGTAGCAATTAGTTTGAGGTAAGTCAATTTAAAGGATCTGCAACACCTCGGGAACTGCGGCCGCTCGAGACAATCTGCAAAAATGGTGGCGTAATGGTCAAAGTTTTGGCACGAACAACGTGTCCAGACTTCCTCTACCTTCACTGCAGCAGCTTTTAGTGCTATAAAATTCTGTATTATCATAAAAAATGTAGTAAACAGACTGGATTTTACCAGCATGATCTGATATGAGTGTTGAACTTTATTTACTTCACGAGGTGTTTTGAGCTTCGAAGGTTAGAATATCACAGGAAATGAAAAATTTTTGAAATAAAAATTGCGAAATGAGAAGAACAATATGTGCAAGTTACATGAATTTGAACAGTGTGGAAATAAATTGTTGCTGTAAACCAAAAAAGGGAAATTTCCTCATTAAAAAACTTGATGCTTTCCCATGGTATAATCACAGTGCAGCAGACAAATGTCTCAAGAAATTTTATAAAATTTTGCTATCATTTTATGATCAATGCAGGAGATGAATTTTATATGAATATTTTATAGTTCCAGAATTTATACCGTTGATATTCAGAACGACATGCAAGCTTAGGGCCTAAAAAGTCCACTTCGACACATCAGACATTAATACAAATTTGGCGAATGATTCCCGGCCACATAATATTGTATCACATCTTTCAGATGCGTTTATGTGATGGAACTCTGAGATCTTTCAAGAAGTTAAGAATAATATTACATGAACATTTTAGCAATGTGACAGTTGCGTAATTCTTTGCAATTGACAAAATTTTATACTCAATTAAAGAGGATTAACAAGCATGTCAGCGTAGGAAGAAAGAGTAATAATGTTTTAAAAGAAAGCATCTGCATTTATCGACAGTTAATACAGTGATAAGTGATAAAATGATTGCCTACTACAATTAATGATTTATGAACACTCATTCAGATAAAATTCTACTCCAGCCTGCGTTGTCAACATCAGAACAATAGATGCGTTGCGTTGCCATCGTTTTTGACTCGATGTGCATGGGAGAATTTTCATAAAAATTTTCCAATTAAATTTTTGTACCTTATCCATGACCATTTAATGCTTGTAGGGACTCGATTTATCCGATTGAAAACCTCGGGAAACCATTCCGATGTGATAATATAACATTTAATTTATGGGGTTCAGTCAATATTTTGTAAATGACGTTAACTCAATTTACTACGTTATTTCTGCAAGTTTGGAGATAAGACGAGGCTGCTACATCATTTCTAGCGACCTTTTGAAGAGAGATGAAGTTGATTATTGCGGTTTCATATTTACATCCTTTAGTAGCTAATTGAACTGCCGTCATAATTGAAGCTTTACGTTTCCATCCTTCATTAGCTAATTGACCGCTGTCGTCACTAATATCTATTACAGGTAATCAAGACAAAGACAGATCAAGTGCCTCCGGCGCGTTTCGAGACCTCAAAGGAGTTACACTGCCAGTGGCACACGAGTTGCCACATTGCTAATAACGTTGACATCCAAAAGAAATGTTCTATTTAGCAAATAGAATTCAATAAGATGTTGTCATTAATATCTTGAAATCTAAGCCATTTCTATGTATTTATAAACGAATAAACGAAAAATTTGCATTTTCGGCCAATATTACTCCATTTTGTTGGCGAGCGGGAAGTTAAGTGCAGTGGCTGCTGTCTGGCGACTTAGAAGCCATTACCGGTAGTTAAAATTTCATTGCATTTGATCTGAAATTTACTCATACATCCTTTACGTTTCTGAATCATTCAATTATTCCTTTCTCATTCGATTAAAAAATAATTATTTTTTAAATCATGGATGAGTTCACGGAAATAACATATCGTCCGAGTCATTTGTTCGGACTTAACATCTGATATCGTAGAAATTTTGTATTTCATTTCTCGCTGAATTATGTTCAGCTAGTCAGCAGACAGCGCGAGTCAGATATTCAGCAGACAGCGCGAGTCAGCTAGTCAGCAGACAGCACGAGTCAGCTAGTCAGCAGACAGCGCGAGTCAGCTAGTCAGCAGACAGCGCGAGTCAGCTAGTCAGCAGACAGCGCGAGTCAGCTAGTCAGCAGACAGCGCGAGTCAGCTAGTCAGCAGACAGCGCGAGTCAGCTAGTCAGCAGACAGCGCGAGTCAGCTAGTCAGCAGACAGCGCGAGTCAGCTAGTCAGCANCTCCGCGCACGCTACCATAGACTAGGCGTATGAGCGCCTAGCGTGACTCCGCGCACGCTACCGAGTAGGATTGAGCACGCTACCGCTACAAAAACCAGGCGTATGAGCGCCTAGCGTGACTCGGCGCGCGTCATCACAGACCAGGCGTATGAGCGCCTAGCGTGACTCGGCGCACGCTACAGTCTGACATGCTTGCCTCTTGCACGACACACTCAGAGAAATGAGTGAGACTTTGTCTAAATAACGAGGCATTTTTTTGCACTGATACCAAGACACACTTGCAGGTATGCTTGAACATTTTTTCAACGATATATTAACGTCATCAATGCTATACATGTATACGTGTCTCCTGAACTGCATGGTAACGAGAGATATGGTACATAATAAATAATAAACAGCGTCGATGAGATATAAGGATAGAATCTAAGTAAATTATATAATTATACAAACTAGATACAATTGTGTGAGTTTTTATACAATTATAAACATCCAGATTTAATTTAGATTCTTTGAAGCGAAGGAGATAGCAAAAGCTTTCAGCTATAAAGATTATGATTGATCATATGTATGTTTAAAAAATTTTCAAGAAATGCGGCTTGCATGGAAAGAATTTCAGTGTGAAAGGATATTTCAGATTTGCTCAAAACGCATGCAGGCAACATGCCCGTTTCATACGTCTTCTTGGTAAAAAAATTCATGCGTTAAAACACTTGCGTTTTTTCTATGCTCGCTCTAGCAAAGTGCAAAGCGAAGAAACTGACGTGCAAAGCGAAAAAACTCGATGTTCTGTAAATGCACGCTATTCAAGCATTTATTTTCACATATGTACGAATCAGAAACTTTCTAATATTCATTTCCAATGATATATTTGTTTTCTAGAATACATTTTGAGGATCTACGAATCAATGTTTCTTTGGCACGTATTCCCTAGGAACCGTGAGTCTCCAAATAAATTTAATATGAAAAAATACCATGAAATGCATTCTGATCTCTTGATTCAACATGAAAAATTCTAGTCCATTTCTATGCTGAACAGAAGACAACACCACTGTAATTTACACATAAAACAAATATAATCTATAAACTTTATAACAATTGAACAGCTATCCAAGTTGCTAAAATTCTAAGACAAAATACGTAAGTAGATTCAACTGACAGGAAATAAATGACGTGTGCAAAATCTTAAATACCGTTTAAGTCAAACGTCGTGAATAACACATGATTTTGATGATGTCATTTTAGAAACGATTTAAACGATTATAAAACGATTATACAAAAGAGAACGGAGAAGTCAAAAATCTTATGCCTGCTAATGGATACAGAAAAAAATTTGAGGCAATATTTTAAAGTTTCTATAGACTGCTTTGGTAGATGTAATCCATATAAATTTTTCAATTCTATTATTGAATTTACTGCGGTCACTAAATAACTTCCTTCTAGTGGCATTGTTCACTCAAGATACATTCTTATTTCCATGAGGTGCTCTATCGGTTGCAAAATTACTTCTTTTTAACGTGAAGAAAGAAATTATTAGGGTTTCCGATCAATTCCCAAATCGGCTTAGAACTCCCGTAGCCCATAGGGGCGTGAAACTCGGAATGCGAGCCAATGAAAGCCACCGAGTCACATGAAATAATTAGTATCTCGAGTATCCTGAGGAACGTAGAATTTCGAACACATGTCCTGTGTTGGCTTTCGTACTAGAAAAAATGTTAGTTTGTATTGTTAGAGACAAAATTAAAACTAAATTGTATAAACTCTCAACGACCTCTCCCCGAATGTACTAGATAGTCAAAAACTATCTTGTATAATTCATTGGCGGACACGAATGAGAAAACAATGTGTTTCTGAATTATTTTTTCTCACACGGTGTGAGAACATCAAGTATAATGCACTCATGACTATGTGCGTCATCAATATTTGGCAAAAAAAGAATAAGAGAAAGAAATTTGAAAGAAAAATAAATTGGCAGAAAATTCGCAAGAGGCTTATTAGTAGCCACTAAGTGGCGGTAACCGCAATTCGTTACAGCCCGAATGGGTTCAATTTAGGCAGGCTTAGCATCGCAATTAACGGATAAAACCCGAGCTCAGGCCTTTGGACCTAACGTTGATGTCTAGTGATGTCTTAACACACGAGTTGGACGTTTTCAATTGAACATCTAGGACGTTTTCAATGATCATTTCAATTGAACATTTTCATTTTGCTATTGAAAACAATCTAACTATTAATCGTGAACATGAAAATCACCGCAATTTTACGTAGATATACCGTTACGTTTGTTATTCGTTTACTTTGTTCAGTATTTTTTCAGTGTCTGTATGTTTTTGCTAAACTTTAGTGACGAACAAATTATCCTCTACTCGCACGAGTACATCGAGGAAGAGCAAAAACCGATTTAGTCAAAATTCGCAGGTGAATTTCAAGACTGAATTGAGTTCTAAGGCCACGCGTAGCTCCCGAACAACGACAAAAATGTCGTCGAC